CCAGAAGGGCTAATCCTCCTCCTCGTCTTCTTTCAGCGTGACTATTGGCACCTTGTCCTGAACTTGGAAGCATTCCACAAAGAAGTTGACCACCGACCTGTACAAGTGTTGCTCAAGCGCTGCACTCGTAAAATAATGGCTTTCATCGGGGTATATCTGCAATGGAACCAAAGAGACGCTGAGCGGGTTTACAACACGATGGGCCTGAGCCAAAGTCACAGTTTTGGACATCCTTCTTCCAGAGCTGACCTCTGTGGCTTAGGCCCAATGTTCAGTTGTGAACATCGGTGCAGATGCTCTCGTATGGCATTTAAGGCTGCTTCTTAAGACTAATTAAATCAGGACTATCCGCATCACCTAGAGGTAGCGGCAAGGAGTCAAAAACAGAGGAGGAAAGGGGATCCTGGAGACTCCAGTAGCAGCAGCCATGGCATCAGTGGGAACAGTGGGGGGAATGGTAGCCCCAGAGCTGCAGGGTAACCCCACAGGAGCCACATGCAGTGTACAGGCTGCCATTGGGACAGCTCTGAATTAAAGTGCTCTATTTACAGCAGTTCAGGTAAAGGGGTAATAACCCCTGTGTGGACATTCATTAGATAGTTGGAATTTGTTTCTTCTAGCACCTCTTCCTTCAAAGAGTTCCCTAACTGAGGCAAGAAACTACTCCAGGTTGCGGGAGCTCTTGTTCTCTCCTGCGGAAACTGTGCCACTTTGAATATTTAATTATGCCATGTGTTCAGCAAATGAATGGTGATGGTAGTCGCATGGAAGGAGTAGGAAATTGGACTCTTCCTATTTTGTGTGAGTGCTCTAACCACCATGGTAGGATAAATGAGCTGATGATACAGCACTACCACCTCCAACTCTGGCCATGTTTTGAAAGGCTTGTCCCTTCTTTTGGTTTTGGAAAGAAACAGCAGGAGACAATTCAGGTATCCACCCCAGAATAAAGCACTTGCTCCATCCCATCCCAAGGGAGGCAGGCACACCCCTCTCCTCTGTGTTTCCTACGGGCTGGTAGGTAGGCAGTGCCATGCTGGCTTTTGTCAGTTCTTAAGTGCCTGGCCTCATGCCTTGACCAGGGAGCTCAGGGACCTAAGACACACGCTATGAACTCCAATATACAGCAGAGTGCCTGAAAATTAGGGGTTGCTGTCCCAAGATCCTTGATGTGTCTCTAGCCCTTCATTTCCACTGGAAAGAGACCAAACCTAAATACCAACATAAAAGTAAGGGAGTGTGTGCATGCATGTGCATGTGCACATCTGTATACAGGGGTCTAACAATCAAGTTCTGTGCCCTTGGTGGTGACAGGGTCAATGGTGGTGTTAGGTGTCATTCTTTTACTCTTCTAAGTGGGTGCCTGGGGCACCTCTAGGTACGCTACTCTCAGTGTGTGTGTGTGTGTGTGTGTGTGTGTGTGTGTGTGTGTGTGTG